TCATGCTCTCTCTCTCTCATTCTCTCTGTCTCAAATAAATAAATAAAATCTTTAAAAAAAAAAAAAGTAAGTAAGTAAGTATCTACCAGAAGCGCCAAGGTTAGAAACTTCATATATCTGTGCCCATCTTGTGCCCTTTCCTCCCTTACAACAGAACAGTCCCTCCTTCTATCCAAAGCCAATCTTTTCACCCGGACTTCACCCCATCCTCTCCTGCTTTCCTCACCTTCTTTTTGTAGCATATACAACCTCTTGCTTTTAACTAGATCCTTTAATCATGTCAAAATCTACCCCTTTAAGAAAAAGGAACAACAGGGGCACCCGGCTGGCTCAGTCTGCGGAGCCTGTGACTCTTGATCTCAGGGCTGTAAGTTCGAGCCCCATGTTGGGTGTAGAGATTACTTAAAAAAAAAAATCTTTAAAAAAAGAAAAAAGAACAACAAAACTATTGGACCCCTCCCCCCACTCCCAGACTCTGCTCCATCGTTCTACTCCTTTTCACCTCCAAACTCCTGCAAAGTACCCTCCCCATTGTGCTTTCCTCCCCGCCCCCCCCACCTGAATCTGCCTCTGGCCTCATCACTCCAGGACACATCCCTCATTAAGATCATGTGTGACCTCCATGCCCCTCAATCCAACAGAACATTTTCAGGCACCAGATTCTCCCAATTCTCAGCAGCACTGGACCCGGGTGACCAGCTCCTCCTTCGCGAAACCTGTTCTTCTTTGGGCTTTGGGACGCTAACACCCTCCCCTCTTTTATCCCACCTCCTTGCCCATTCCTTCTCGGTAAGGTTTGCTGGCTCGTCACGTCTACCTGGCCAGTCAATGTTGTGGTCACACAAGGCTTGGTCTTAGTTCTCTTTCCCCCCATTTTTAAAAGTAGCTCAATTCTTTATGTCTCACTCTCTACACTCCCTGGGTGAGTTAGAGCTCACTGACTGCTGTCACGTCTTCTTAGATGGCTCGAGGATGCCTCAAAATCAACACGTTATTTTCTCTCCTCGCAATGTTTCATAGCTCGGTGAAAGGCACACTCACTAATCGATCAAGTTATGCACCCCCCAAACCAGCATTATCCTTGGTGCCCCTCATCCCCTAGGTCTGATTCAGCACCAAACCTTTGTACTTTATTTTCTGCATATGTCTTGAATCCATCTGCTTCCCTCTACATCCACCCCCTTACCCTGCCAGCCCCCGGAGGCAGCTAGCTTCATCTCTCCCCTAGACTACTGGAGCGGCACTCGGACTGGTCTGTGCACGTGGCCGTGGCCTTGATCCCGCAATCCGTTCTCTACACCACAGCCAGACTGATGGCTTCAGCACACGTCTGCTTAGGTCACTTCCCTCCCCTTCCCCTTCCCCTTCCCCACGCCCCTCCACACAGACCCCCAGCAAGCCCTCTAGTAGCTTCTTTTTATTCCTAGGAAAAAGACAAAATGCCTCAATATGGCCTGCAAAGCCCGGCTGGCTCTAGCCCCGGCTCAGCTCTCTAGCTCATTCCTCATGTAGTGCTCCCTCTAGCGTCTGCAACTCCGGCACTGCTTCTTTTTCCCCAACACTGTTTGCCAGGCCCCTCCCACCACAGGGCCTTTGCACTAGCTATTTCCCCTCTTTGTGTGGTTAACCCTTTCTCAGCCTCTCCGACCTCAGGCTCAGCATTATTTCCGTAGGGAAGACAGTCTTCCCCGAGGAAGTCAGAGCTTCTTATCAGAGGTTCTTCTAGTACCAGACACTGACTTAGCACCGTTGCCGTGGTACATTTATTTGTGTGACTGAATAATTTCTTTCTCCCCGCCACTCATTCATTCGTTCACTCAACAAATGTTTACTGAGCCCCCTACTGTATACCAGGCATTATTTTAGAAGGGGCGACACACTGTAAAGAAATAAATACGCAATATGACGGCAAGCAGTGAAAAGTGCTGTGAAGAAGGGGAAGCGGGGTAATAGGGCAGAGACTATATGGGAGGCTGCTGACTTGGGTGGGACGGTTAGAGAAGGCTTTTGGGAGCGGCGGGCGGAGCACAGATGTAAATGCAACGAGAGGGCAAGTCCAGAGGGCGTGTGGGGGATGGGCATCCCAGGGAGAGGAAATGGGAGGGTCAAGACTAGAGGATGTTGACCCTATTCAAGGAACAGCCGGGAACCCTGTGGGGCTGGAGTGGAGCGAAGGGGAGGGTGGTGAGATCAGGATGGCGGGTGGGGGGTGTGGGTGCAGGTCATTCCTTTGGGGCCTTGTAGCCCAGACATGGGAAGTGGAGCCATTAGAAGCTTTTAAACAAGGAGTGACTGGATTCTCTGCATGTTTAAAATGATCACTGGTGCTGTCTTGAGGTGAACGGATTGAAGCAGGGAGCCCCATTAGGCTCTGGAGTGGTGCTGAGGAGAAATGATGGGCGCTCAGACTAGGGCGAGCCCGGGGGAGGTGGCGAGAAAGCACAGGATGGAATGCATTTTGAAGGTAGAACTTTTGGGATTTGTTGATGGGTTTCTCCAGACCCTCCAGTGGGTTTCCTTTTCACTTCAAGCAAAAGTCAGAAGCCTCGGCAGGGCCCGTGAGGCCTGTCTCCCCTCCCTCCCTCCTTCCCCTTTGTCCATGTTGGCCTCCTTGCCCTTCTGTGGGAACAGACCAAGCCCGAGACCCCTTCTGCATTTGGCATTCCTTCGGATATCAGGAAAGCAGATACCAACATGGTTTGCTCAAATGTCACGTTACCAGAAAAGCTTTTCTCGGTGGTCCTCTATGTCCCCCTTCCCTGCTTCACTTTCCCGGTCAGTTCCTCTTTGTTGTACTTACTACCATCTGACCCACGCATACACTGAACACCCGTAATATGAACGCCCAGGCATATAAGCGGTGTGCGTGTTTATTCCATGAAGGCAGAGACTTGGTCTGTTTCATTCACTCTAGAACAGAACTCCCAGAACAGTGCCCGGCACACAGTAGGGGTTTACTAAAAAGTTTGTGAAATATTGTTGAAACGGAGAAATGAATGGAGCAAAGAATGGCTCCAAGGTCTGGGACCTGAATGACGGTGCCGCCGCCCGAGGTCATCGGGAAGATTTTTCAAGGTGAGCGTTGGGACCGCCGGCTCCAAGCCTCCAGCTGCAGTCCCTGAGCTGCTTCGTTCTGTCCCAGGTTCAGAGACGCACGCCCTCCCTCTGGGGCCCACGGAAGGCCGCGACACGTCCAGAAATCTAGGAGTCTGCACTCCCTTTCTCTTCCCACGGCGAGAGAGGGAGAAAGTTGTGATGAGCCAAACAGACTTGCCCAGTTCCTGAGAGTGAAGGTGTCATCAACGTTTCAGACATTATTGACTCTGTGTGTGGTTTCCGGCAAACAACTGACCGCCTACTTTAAGAGACAATATCACTAAGTGCTTTTTTTTAATGCAAAAAAGAAAGAAATAAAAAAGAGCTACCTATTTTCCTCATTCCTGCAGGTGCCCAACCCGAATGACTTGTTGGAGCGCATTTTCTGCATTCTTAATAGATAGCCAGCAGGAAATGCCTCTTATAGCCCGGGCCGGAGGGGTAGAACGTAGCGAGGGGAGGGTACAAAATCCCCAGCCCCAGCTTCCGCAAGCACTGAGCTGCTCCTAGGTGGGCCAGGCAACTCTGACCATCACTTCGCACCTTTGCTCAGCTGTGGCATCTTGCTGTCTCAGTTGATGGTCAGGAATTAAGGTAGGAGAAGCTGGCGATTTCTGGGGGGCGAGGAGGGATGGAGAGTCAACTGGGCAGGAATCGGGGTGGGGGGAGCGGTGAGCATCACATGCTTTGCTCACTGCGCTACAATCTGGTCCTTTTGGGGCTTTCGTTCCAAGTGATCACTGTGACAACCTCTCCCGAGGTGCTGGATAACATTCTGCAGCAGGGTGGTAACCGTGTCCTTACAAGCAGACTGTGGTAGAGTTGAGGCCCAACTGCGGGCATTGGATTCCGTGTTAGAACATTTGTGCAGAAGTCTGGGCATCATTTTGAGGTCGAATTGGAACGCTAGGTGTTTTTATTGTTTGTGCACTGGGGAAAGGTTGCAAGGTGCAGTGTACTTCTGTAATTCTGCTATTCTAACTGCACAGCTGGTACACCTTGACCTTAGGGTTTTGTCTGCAAGAGGCTTTAACTACAAGCCAGGGACTGGGACGGGATCATCTTCTCCCGGAAAGTCCCCCCCCCCCACCTCCGCCTCACAGCTGTCCCCTCGGCTCCAGCTTTGCAGCGCCCCTTCTCCTAAGCCAGACCCCAGCCAATTCACGCCTGCATCAGGAGACCCCTCGCAGAGGGCTCACTTGGGGATGGAACTGTCCACGTTTCTGCAGAGGTGCAGTGAGATGCAGCTCTGCAAAGGCTGTAGCCAATAACGGTTCTCAGAATCTCAGTATCCCCGAGAGGCACGTCCTCTCCGCTGAGGTCTGAGTGCAGCCCGGAGAATTGCTTGCGAGCTAGATCCAGAGAAGTAAGTAAGAGAAGTGGTTCTCCTTTGAAAGGTGTGTCCGTGTGTTTGGGGAGAGGTAGCACTTGTACCCCAATCAGGATCCCGGTTGCCTAAGGTCTGATCCCTCCAAGGTGATGGGGATGAGACCTGGCCTCTGACTTTCTCCCTCTCGAACCTTTCCTGGCTGTGGCCAGTGGCCTGTGGGCTCTGTGGTCCTTACCCGAGGAGACTAGGAGCATGCTCCATGGCCCTGATGTCCCGAGGGTCTGGCCGGCTGCCTTCCTTATAGCTTCAGCGAGACTCCGCAAAGCTAGATTTGCAAGCTGTGTCAAGCCTGAGCCTAGAGCAGTGGCCGCTGGCATCTCCAGGGCTAAAGCCGTGACTCTTACAAAGGTGCTAAGCAGCTCTTGCAAGTAGAGGCTCTCAGGAGAAGCCTGGAGGGAGTGGACAAATGTTCTGTCTGCGCTGCCTAAAGGAAACCAGATGGCCGGCTTATGGCCCGGCTCAAGGCTCCCTAGAGATCAGAAGTCAAGGCCTCACATTTGATAAATGGGGAGACTGAAGTTCATAGAGGGGTTCTGTGAGTCCCACCGGGTAGACAGCAAGGGACGGTGGGGAAGGGACAGACACTGAAGCCCTGAGTTCAAATCCCAGCTCGCCCCCCACCTAGCTGTGTGGCATGGGCAGTTCATTTGACTTTCTGGGCCCGGATTTGCTCATCTCTAAAATGGGGACAATAGGACCTCCGTTGAGAGTTGCAAAGACTAGAGAAAATATGCACAGAGCTTCTGGCACAGAGGCGGTATTTTGTAAACCGTAGCCTTAGGAAAAGGGCTGGCTCCAACATTTATCATGACTTTATAATTTGTAACACCTCCACTTTCTTTTTTCTTTTTTGCTGTGTTTGGGAAATAGATTTGACGGATGACTGTGTAAATTTAAGGTGTTACATGTTTATATATGGTAACATGATTGCCATTATGGTGATAATTAGCACCTCTATCACCTCGCACAATTATCCTTTCTTTTCAGTAGCTGGAATAATTTAGTCCTCGTCTCCTTCAAGTTGGAGGACTGCTAATGATATTGTGCCTTAGATCTCGAGGGCGTATCTACCGCTTATAACTTTGTGCCCTGAACAACACCGGCCCGGTCCCCTCACCCCCCAGCCCCTGGTAACCATCATTTTACTCTGTTTCTAGGAGTTGGACTTTTTAAAATTCTGCGCCTAACTGATATTATAAGTACAGTTGACTCGAACTCCGTGGGTTTGAACTGCGCGGGTCCACTCACGCGAATTTTTTACAGTGCGGTGCTGTAAATGTATTTTCTCTTCCTTAGGATTTTCTTTGCATTTCTTTTCTCTAGCTTGCATTATTGTAAGAATACAGCGTATCATACATATACAAAATATGTGTTAATTGACTATTTATGTTGTCGGGAAGACTTCCGGTCAACAGTAGGCTATTAGTAGGTTAAATTTTGGGGGAGTCAAGTTATATGCAGATTTTTGACTGTGTTCAAGGCCAATTGTACTTGTCTTTCTCTGACTCCTCATAATGTGCTCAAGGATACCTTTGCTTTATTTATTTCTACAACTCCGAGAATCTGAATATATAGCATGTGCTTTTTTTTTTAAATCGAGGAATAACTTACCTTTAGCGAAATGCACAGATCTTAAGTGTACAATGTGATGAGTTTTGGCAGACGTGTCCATCCACGTATAACCTTCACCCTCCTCAAGGTGCAGGACATTTCCAACACCACCGGGGTTCCCCACGCCCCTTCCCAATCTCCAGCCCACAGCCAGCCACTGTTCTGATTTCTGTCCCCACAGGTTATCTGTGCCTGTCCCGTGTAAGTGGAATCCTATAATATGTGGTCTTTTGTGTCTGGCTTTTTTTTTCCACCCAACATAATGTCTTTGTGAATCATCCATGCTGCTGTGTAGATTGGTAGTTTGTTCCTTTTTGTTGCTGAATGACAGTCCGTTAAATGACAGTGTCACAGTTAGTGTATTCTTCCTCTTGATGCTGGGCATTTGGCTCGTTTCCACTTTTTGGCTATTTTAAATAAAGTTGCTGTGAACCACATGCACGAGTCTTTGTGCGGACGTACGTTTTCGTTTCTCTTGGTTGTATGTGCCTAGGAGTAGGGATTGCTGGGCCACAGAGTAAGCGTGTGTTTCACCTGATAAGAACCTGCCCAACAGAGTGGTTGTTTGCATGTCTTTTGGAACAAGGATACAATGGATTCGTTTTTCAGGTGGTGCCTGGTTATGCTTAGCATGGCTGTCAACCGAGGGAAACAGTGATGTGCTCAGTGGAAGGCTTCTGTAGACAGCAGGACCCAGTTATGGCTGCGGCCAGAACGAGTCTGAAAGGAGACCTTTTAGGAAGGGTCCCCTGCTCGCTGCCAGATTCCTTCCTGACGTTTCTAGCAGGACCATGAAAGAAGAGGCTGCAGAATTCATATTCTCCAACCTCTTAATTTTACGCAAGAGGAATCTGAATCCCAGAGAGGCCATGTGCTTCCCCCAAAATCACACAGCTGAGGAAAACCCCAGGTCCTCTGACTCCTAATTGGTCTGATTTCCTTGCATTGTGCTTTCTCTGCATGAAATGGAACTCAGGCATTCAGCCATTGTTTACTGACCTACTTATGCTAGGTGCTAGGGATAAAGAAATGAATAAGAAATGGCCCCCACCCTCAAGGACTAGAGAGGAACAGAGACTATTAAACTCTAAGCAGTTGCAGTAGATTCCCAAGAATGAATAAAGGTGCCTTTAGCCAGAGCACACTGCCAAGTCTGGTCAGGTAGCCCAAGGTAAAGTAGCATCTGGACAGGGTACTTCTAGTAAAGGAAGGCCACACAGCATGTCTTGAGTGACCACTGTATGCCTGGTCCTGGCTTTGGTGCAAGAGGACAGCCCCCTCTCTGAAGGAGCTCGCGGTTAGGATGCTATGATGGAAGCCAAGTTTAAGGCAACTCAGCAAACAGCTATTGAGCATAGGCTCTGTCTCAGGCACTGTTCTAGGTGCGGAGGATATGGCAGTCAACAGGGTTGACAATCTGACCATCTTTCAGGAACTTTTCACCAATATTGCCATATATAGTAGTGTAGAGAATGTTGGTCTTTGAGATCTGTACTTGGTTCAGAATATATCTGTCTGGAGGCCTGAGGACTGGCGTCCTTTGTAATTGCCCAATTCTAGTGGGGGGTGGGGGGTGGGTGTGGGACAGCATCCTAGGTAGATCAACAATGGCGGAGTAGGAGAATTTGATGTGTTTTATTCTCTCTCGCATGCAAGGGGTCAAGATGGAGAGCAATGTTTATTATGAAAAGTGAGGTACCCACTGGATTGCTTAGTCAAGCTCTCCAGGGGGGCCCAGGTCTTTGTCCAGGAGCATCTACATGCAGTTTTGGGTCAGTCTTCTCGCCCATTTGTTTTTGGAGGAGGAAGGCACTTCCCCAGAAGGCAAGTTGCTCTTTTGTCCTCAGTGGCCTTTTTTTTTTTTTTTTTTAAACTTCCGGCTGATCTTCTACTGTGTGAGTTGCCAGATAATTCTCTTGTGTGGCTCCTGGGGGCCCCTTCAGCACTTCGTTGAGCTCTGTCTTGTTCCCAGAACATCGATCAGAGGAGGCTCCTCACCTGGTCCTCAGACCAGCGCGCATGGTGGTTGAGCTTCCTGGCACCGTTCAGGAGCCCCCAGAATGCCTCTCCTCCAAACTATAGCCAAGCCACATGGAAAAAATAGTGCCAGTAACATTTTGTGTTCGATCCGCAGCTGTCCCCTACCTGTGTTGCTCACCATGGAAGAGATGGGGAAGACTGATATCCAGCTGCAGAGACCTATAAAGACTGAGTGGAATCCCCGGTGTGTCCTCTTCACCTATTTCCAAGGGGACATCGGCAGCGTAGTGGACGAACACTTCTCCAGAGCTCTGAGCAATGTCAAGAGCCCCCAGGGATTGAGCCCCTTGAGCCAGAGCACAGACGTGATCCTGAGGAATGGTGAGCATGTTGGGAGGGAGGAGGCTGGAATTTTCGATCAAGGCTACCTCGGAAAGACCTGTTCTCCCAAGCCCTTGATGCGCTGACACGTGTGTGTATTTGCAGAAGGCAAGTCACACCATAAGTGAGAAGGTGCACCCATTTCTTTGGAAGTTTAGTGTGAAAATCAACAATGTGCAATCAAGCTAGTTCACCTATTTCGTTCTTTCCTTACCTGCGTTCAGTGCTGGGTTCACTGCTTAGTACACAGTTAAGAGCGCCGTGACTGTTCGCTATTATCAGCCTTCGTTATTTATTTATTTATTTTAAAGATTTTATTTATTTATTTGTCAAAGAGAGAGAGCACGAGAGCACAAGCAGGGGTGAGGCAGGCAGAGGGGGAAGCAGGCTCCCTGCTGAGCAAGGAGCCCGATGTGGGACTCGATCCCAGGATCCTGGGATCATGACCTAAGCCAAAGGCAGATGCAGATAAATAAATAAATAAATAAATAAATAAATAAATAAATAAATAAGCAAGCATTCTAACATCTCTAAACAATTATTTCAAGATAGCTGTGTCAAAGAGTGCTCATCAAAATACCCAGGTTTGGGAAAAGCTATAAAAATTAAGCTGTCAGGGCTCTAGTAGGACTTTCATAGACCCTAGACATTTCTGACTCTATGGGCCTCTTTCTCAGTACAGCTATGAAAAAGGACATTTTGTGATTGTGTTGCTATAAACACAACTTTAATCCAGGCTGGATTCATTTTTATGTATTTGTTATTTTGTTATACTCATTTTTCTTCTAATTTTAAGAGATGTTAAAACATTTTCATGGGCTCCTAAAAAGTATCTGCGGGCCCTAGGCACTGTACTTGCCGTGCCTCATGGAGAAGTCACCCTGCCAGATGGATGGAAGTCCATCCACCATTTTGAAATGTGCAATAGACCAGGGTCTGCTTGATTTTAAGAACTCTCCATTGTAGTTGCCCGGCACCCACGTTGAATGCCTGGGTCCCACTGGAGGATGTACATGCCTCCAAATGATTGTCCGTTTTGTGCAAAGATGCCAAGTGGGGGGCCATCTGCCTGTGGGGGGAAGATCTCCCCTCTTTTCAGGAGCCATCACTCTGGCTTTGCTCTTTGGGCCTGGTTGGGGAGTTGGTGTATATCACCTTTGCAGAATTTGCTTCTGTCCTAGAAATTATTTTTCCAGTCAGGTGATGTGATTTTCTGAGACTCTTGGGAGTTAAGTAAACGTGTGGAAGGGGGCACTAAAGGAAACGATGCAGTTTACAGTTGCAATGGGCACAGTGGGGTGGCTGAAGGGTGGGGCTGTGGTGTCCAAAAGTGTGTTGAGTAGTTCAGAGCAGGAGCAAGAATGACTGACTGAGTCATTTGGGAGAATTAACGTGTAGTAAGAGCTGATAAATGGGATAAGTGGGTTTCAGAGGATCTAATCAGTTCCTTGGAAGAGTCAAAACCCCAAGCTCTTCATGCGTGGACTTCACATGCATGGACTTTGGCTGTTTGGCTTTGACTGAGTTCTGAACACACTGGCTTGGATTCATTATCATCACTCCCTTGTAAGTGCCATCTACCTATAGTCCCTCACAACCTCTGTCCCGCTTGCCTGATAAAACCCAACCTGAAATAAAACCAACTCTTGGCCTCTTGCCCCATTTCATAGGAAGACTCAAAAATTACACCCATGCACCCTTCCTCTTCCTCTCCTGCTCTTTGGAACTCACTCCACTCAGGCTTTCATCCTTATCACTCCTTAACCGCTCTCATCAAGGTTAGCCAGTGACCTCCACTTGCCAAATCAATGGTCTTTCCCTGTCTCCATCTTTTTTTGACCTGTCAGCAACATTGGCTGCAGGTGGTTGCTCCCCCCTCTTAGAAAGGCCTCTTTCACTTGGATCCCATAACATCACCTTCTCCTGGTTTTCCTCCTTCCTCCTGGGTTACTACTCCTCAGTCTCCTTTGCTGGACGTCCTCTTCTTTTCAGCTTCTAAATGTTTGGAGGCCCCAGTGTTCGGGTCTTAGACAATTTCTCTATCTACACTCACTCCCTAAGGGATCTCTTCTGTCTCTTGGTCTTAAGTACCATCTATATCAATTTCAAATGCATTACTTCCAGCCCAGACTGCATCTCAGTCCTGTCTATCCAGGTGCCTACTTGATCCCTTCACAAATGTACTAGGAATCACAAACAATGAGGTCTCAGACTGAGCTCTTAATTGCCTCCTCGACCCGCTCTTTCCACCATCTCCCCATCTCAATATATGGCAGCTGCATCCTTCCAGTTAACTGAGAGTCATGTTTAACTCCTCTCTTCATCCCCTACCCCATGCCCAGTTCTTTGAAACAGTGTCAGTTTTACCTTCAAAATATATCCAAGTTCTGACCACGTCTCCCCTAACTCTGCTTCTATCGTGTTGGTCCAGGAAGCTGTCATCTCAGCCCAGGATTTTTGCAGTAGCTTCCTGACTGGTCTCCTTGCTTCCACCTTTGCTCCCCTTCCGTCTGTTCTCAAGATAGCTGTCAGAATGATATCACTAAAAGGAAAGTCTCGTCCTATATCTCTTCTGTTCAGAACCCTCCAGTAGCTTCCTGTCTCACTTGGAATCAAATACAGAAGTCTTGCGTGGGGCCCTGTTTTCATTCTGATTTCATATCCTACCACCCCCACCTCATTTCATCCAATCTAGCCTCCTACTATTTGTAGAACATGCCAAGTACAATCCTGCCTCAGGCCCTTTGCACCTCCCCACCCCCTCCCTGAATGCTCTTTCCCCAGATAACTGCAGGACTTCCCCCTTTTCTCCATTCAGGTCTCCATCGGAATGTCACCTCTCCAGCCAGGCCCTCTCTGCGCAATCTCTTTAAGAAATAGAAACACACCCCCCTGTCACCCTCTGTCCTCTTACACTATTTTATTTTATTTAGCATTTGTCACCACTGGGCATATTATATATTTATGTGTTTTCTTTCTTGTCTCCCCCCATTCTCTAAACTGAATTCCATGGTAGCAGGGCCTCTGTGTAAATTGCTACTTCCCAAGTACCTAGCCCAAAGCCTGACACATGGAAGGTATCCAGTAAATATCGCTTGAATGAATGAAACTGTGATTTGCATCACAGGGTACTGATGTCTGCCATGGATGGAGTCACCGAAGAGAGTGCGGTGTGTGGTTTTAGAACCAGCTCCACCATTTATTGACAATGTGATCTCAGGGCACATCACTTCCTCTGTCCGTGCCTCAGCTCCCTCCTCTCTAAAGCTGAGGCTCACTCAACTATAGGAGGGGTCCATGAGGTCGTGCATGGCCACTGACACGTAGTGCCATGTAGGTGTTCGATAGGTTTGTGTGGTGGTATGAAAGCCTGACGTGTTTTCTGAGTGGCGCGAGCGGATATGGGGGCTTGCTTTCAAAGCACTAAGATCACAGAGCAGCAGGCCCCTCCTGGAAGCCTGCACGTTTTCTAGGGGCTTCTGCCATGTGACAGCTGTATGGTTTCTATACCTCTGACTTCATTCTATTCTGTGATTCTCCTGTGCATGAAGGGAACTTGGACGTGGCTCTGTTTCTTGCCCAAGCCAACCTTCCGGGGCCAAACAGAGAGACAGCCATCTTCTCTGCTTATCTTCTTGGTTGCATTTACCCTGTGAGAATCTCACGGGTCCCTTGACTGTGAAGATGTCTTCCTCACAGAGTGCGGGGCAGGTGGGGCAAATGTTGGTCCAGCTGACTGAGCAAAAGGAGGTCTGTCTTCTTCCTCCAGGCCTCTTATCACGGTTAAGAGTCAAGTTTCTCATAAGCTGTGCTGCCTCTCGGGAGGCCCCATGAAAGACCAGTCCCCCAGCGGTTCTCACAAGAGGTGTTATGTGAGAGCCCCGCAGCTTCGGAAATGGTGGGAAATCCATAAAGTGGCCTTTCATTACTGCCCGTTAGCAGCCTCTCAGGCCCTGCCGGCCAGCCCCAGGCCGCTGAGCCCTGGCTGAACCATGCCCAACAGAACAGGCTCCCATTCATGGGCTCCCGTTACCGACTCGGCCACTTTCTAAGGGAGCTCTGTCAAGCCAAATATGCAAAGCCCAAACACAGAGGCCCGTGTGGCTAGGAAATGCCATCGAATTTCCTGGCTGTTTTTCCCAAATCCAAATTATTTTTTTATTTACTTATGTATATTTTATACTGGCTGGACTTGAGAAAAGAAAACACAGGCTGAAGGCATTTTTTGAATTATCTCCCTTTTAAAAGGACACTGAGGATCTCAGAGTAGCTGACCAGAGAAGCTTCGGTAGTTGCCACTTCTTGGGGGGCGGGGGGACAGGGTCCGGATGCACATCCCACTCCACTGAGCACCCAGAGGTCTTTTGTAGCGAGACTCAAAACGTCATACCTCCTCCTCTCTCCTCTCAACCATAATCCAGTAGGGGTGGGGAGGAAACACTGGTTTGTTTGTTTTGAGTGTGAATATCTATTTGAGAGAGAGTCATGCTAGTTGTTCCTGGCCCTTGTGAACACTGACAACTCCTGGTGAGGGAGAGGAATCCGCATCAACGCAGAGTGAGCCCCCACTGGACGCTAGACACCATGGGCCAGTGACTGTAGTCACTTCAGTCCTCAAAAGCCACTGTGATTTCTGAAGGTCAAAGATAGGCAACCTGCATATGGTGTCAGAAGACAGGAGAGCAGTTACCCCCCGGGAGGTGGGCTCCCCGGGGTGGCGGCCATGTTCTGTTCCTTGACTGGGTGCTCGTCACCTAGTTTGTGAATATTCCCCCAGCGGCACGTGGGTGCATCTTCCTGCATGCCTGTTGTATTTCCCAAAGCCACTTTACAAGGGGTATTAATGTCCTCACTTCACGGAGGAGGCAACACAGCCCAGATAGGGTGAAGTGTTGAGATGGGTCACACAGCCTGTGAGTGAGGGCTAGAGATTGAAACCGAGGTCCATCGGACTCTTTACTAGCCCACTGTCCTGCCTTTGCAGACCCTGACAACAACCCGGGCGAGAGGGCTAATGCCCAGAAGGACTATCGCTAATACTGTTGACGATCGCTAACAATGATGGAGCACGTCGTGTGTGCGGGGCCCTTTGCTGGGGGCTCCCACAGGGATGAGCTCATTGAATCCTCACACCAGCTATTGGTTAACTCGCACTGTGCCCATTATCCTGGGAAGGAAACTGAGGCTCAGAGAGCCAAGTGATTTGTCCAAGATCCCACCACCAGTAAGGGGTGGCTATTCGAGACCAGGCCAGTTTGACTCCGATTCTTGAGCTCTCAGCCACTGGCAAATACTGCACACGTTCTGTGTTTCATCTTCATTTTCATCCGGATAAAGGCTCTGGATAATCAGCAAAAGACTGGGTACCCCGGGGAGGCGACGGTAAAGGAGGGAGTGGGGCCGAGCAGGCCGCCCTAGCGCCCTGGAACAGGACCGTGTCCTGTAAGCTGCCCTGTCCCCGGTGTTGTTTCAACCTCGGCTAATACAAACAATATCCTCTTTGTTTCTGGGGTGAATGAATAAGAGGCCAGCACCACTAGCCAAGAAGGCAGAGAAGGAAAAGTCAGTGCGTACAGATCGGACAGGCCGAAGGTTGGACTGTCACGGTGCAAGATGTTCAGAGGGTGCTTGGTTTTAACTTCAGCATAAAGCAGGATTTGTATTCAAGGCAGAGACAGAGAAAGGGGAGGGGGACGAGAAGGAAGGGTGGGTGGAAGGAAAGCAGGCCATTATGGATTGGTCTTTTACAACTGTGACTCCAATTCAGTGAGTCAAATGGTTTCCTCAGTTTTTACTTAAAAAAAAATAACTTTTTCGGGGCCCCTGGGTGGCTCAGTCGTTAAGCGTCTGCCCTCGGCTCAGGGCATGATCCCAGGGTCCTGGGATCAAGCCCCGCACTGGGCTCCCTGCTTGGCAGGGAGCCTGCTTCTCCCTCTCCCTCTGCTGTTCCCCCTGCTTGCGCTCTCTCGTTCTCTCTGTCAAATAAATAAAAAAATCTTTTTTTTTTTTTAAGATTTTATTTATTTGACAGAGAGAGACCCAGTGAGAGAGGGAACACAAGCAGGGGGAGTGGGAGAGGGAGAAGCAGGCTTCCCGCGGAGCAGGGAGCCTGATGCGGGGCTCCATCTCAGGACCCTGAGACCATGACCTGAGCCGAAGGGAGACGCTCAACGACTGAGCCACCCAGGGGCCCCAATAAATAAAAAAATCTTAAAAAAAATAACTTTTCCTAATCACAAAAGTACCGTTATTTTTGGAAAATTAGAAAACAAAGATAAGCATTCTATGCACGCATGCTACGTTTTACAACGGACTAACATCATTTTGCACATAAATGATCTCCCAGGATCATGGCTTGAGGCGAAGGCAGCCGCTTAACTGACTGAGCGCCCCCCAGGCGCCCCCACAACATCATTTTAATGGCTCCAGAGTATCCTTTTTATAGATGTACCGAATCTATTACAATTTTTGGACATCGGGTTGTTGCCGATTTTTCACTATATTGTAAATATCCTTTTGACTATCCTCGTAGCTACATTTTTGCACACATCGTTGATTATATCCCTAAATTGTTATAAGGGGAATGACTGGATCAAAGGATGCATTCAAATTGCCCCGAGAGATTTTATGCCCACCTGCCACCATCCAACCCCAAGAGTGTCACGCAGCTCACTGCAATCTTTGCAATACCGAGAGACAGAGCTGCTAAGGGCACACGAGTTTTGGAATCAGCCAGCCAGAGCGTTTGCCAACTGCATGGCCTTAGGCAAGTTTCCATAGCCACTCCAAGTCTTTATTTTGTCATCTGGGTCGCTGTGGGGATCACGTGAGCTCATGTGGGCAGAGTGCTAAGCAAAGCGCCTGGCCCATAATAAGTGCTCAGTAAACAAAACTGTTGTGGATTTGCAACCGCTCCTACCCGCCTCTGGTGTATCATTTCCTGGAAATGGACACGCACTGAGCAATGACTTCTGAAAATTCTCTTCTACAACTACTGTCTACACCATCCACCCTCCACATCAGCCTTCAAGTGTTGTTGCTGCTGTGGACTCTTGTGCTCAGCCCAGGACCGCCCCCCCGCCCCCCTCCCCCACTGCCCCAGTGCTCTCTGAGGTTAGGATGGGACTGCGAGGCAGGGTCTAGATGCTCAGAGTTGGGAGCATATGGGATGGAAGGCTTTTGTATTCCTACTAAAAGGAAAATCCAGGCGGCCCCAAGTGTCCTAGGACCAAAATGTTCCTGGACTGGTTTCATTCATTCATGTAGTCTGGAGTTTGATAAAGCAGCAGTCTTTCCCGGGGCTCCCTCCCTCTCATCTCTAGAGGTAACTAAGAGTGGGGGAACTTGGGTAAGAAAGGGTCACCAGGGTCACTTCTAGCGGTGGCAACAGCCACTTGAGCCAGTCAGGACTGTGACTTAGAAATGCCTTCAGGGTTCACAGGGTAGGTGAGCGTGGTTGCTGGAAAGAGGCCCCCCCACCAAATTCAGGGTCTCCACCCCATGGGTCACCAACATCCAAGTCTGCTCTGGAAAGATGGCTTTTCCCAGGTCACCCAGGGTCTACTATGGGGTTGCTGTGAATTTGGGATTTGGGACACTGCCCCCCCCCCATGCTGCCATCCAAACTGTGCTCTGGTGCACTCAGTGACCAGATGGACCTTGGACAGTGGCACACCACCCACTCCCCGAAACATTTCGATCAGAAAATTCTGGAAGTCCTAAAAAAAGAAAAGAAAAGAAAAGAAAATTCTGGAAGGGAAGCAGTTAAAAGAAATATTCAAAAGCCACTGGGGCCCTGCCTTGCCCATTTCAAGCATTCAGCCTCTAGGTCATATGCATGAGATCTGTAAGGCCAGTTCAGATGGAAACTGCCCCCTTGTCGGGCTACACAATTTTTCTAACTTGTGCTCAGAACATGCAGTACCCTTATTGAACGTGAAGCATGCCTAGTGATTATACTAAGTCAGCTTAATCACTCTCTTTGTGCCCTGAATCTCTACCGGTCTGCAGATATCAATTTTCAAAAGTAGCATTCATCCCCAAGAACAAATTTTAACGTTTTCTTGCCCTTGGTTTCATTAAAAGAGGCCAACTGCCGCCCCCCACTCCTTGTGAGCGATGTGAAATGTTGGGTAGAATGTCTGTGCCACGAGGTTACAACTTCTTTTGCTCTTCTCATCTGTATTACCTGAAAAGCTATGATGGGAGGGCAGGCGGGGGGCAGCGCTCCCATGTCACTGTGCAGACCACTCAAGATGCTTTTATCTTGTACAACATGCAGGCAAGTGGAACATTCAGGAGAGCTGGGAGAGACACACGTGGGGCAGGGGAGCAGGGGGAGGGGACCAGACAGTCTCTCCAGCCCTCCAATCTTCCTTTGTCTTCACGCCCACACCCCCCTTCATTATCTTGGATAGATGAGAGGCTCTAGGTTTTAAGCACCATCTGCCAGAGCACTCTCCCTCCTCCTCTCTTGCCTGAGTGGGTGTTTCGAATGGGGAAAACATCCATCCATGTCGTGAGCTGCCCTAGACTTTTTGAACACTCAGATTCAGCTGCTACCCTCGGCACAATTAGAAGAGTATCTATGAGACCAAAGGAGACTCCATCTCCCCTTGCTAGTCCACACGAACTTTGCGAGAAGTAACTGAGTCATCCCTTGACCTTGAGCATTTTGCTTTTGCAGGAAGAGGTCCAAGCAATGACTCACTGCTCCAGCTCCGATCCCTACTTGACTAACCTGCTTTGCTAACTTGGTCCAGTCTTAGCATCCCCATGCCCCTGATCCCTCTAGAAAATTGAGTTTCAACCCCTAGACTTGCATGAGTGACTTATACACAGGCGAGCGTTAAACCCTTTATAAAATTATGTGGCGTCCTTCCATTTGGTGTATTCAAACCACAAGCTATAAAATCAAGCCAACCAGCAATGGCCAAACACAAATCACCTTTAATCAAGCAATTTTACTTCTAGAAAAGTTTCCTTGAGGGGCTCGTTGGACACGGGTGCAAAGATGTATATGCAAAGATGTTCATCACGGTGTTGTTAATATAACTGAATACTGTGCTCGTATTCGTTGCCATGGGAGGATATCTGTGATATTTTAATGATGCAAAAGCCGCCTTAAAAATCCTATGTGATGTGAAAACCATGTGGACCTGAATAGAAACAATCCGAGAAAGAAGTATACCTAAAAGCAGACATTGGTGGTCTCTGGATATTGTAGTCAGAGTGGGGTTTGTTTTTTGGTTTTTTGTTTTTGTTTTTGTTTTTGTTCTACTTTTTCTACACTTTCTTCATGTTAAAAAATAGTCTGCAGTAACCAGAAAAAAATTAAGCTATTTCCATTTTGAAAACAATAAATACCTACCTAACATGTCTTGTAAATCTTTCCTTCCCAGATAGTGACATGCCTCCAAATCAGTGGCGTTTCTCTTCTCCGTGGACAAAGCCAGAGCCAGAAGCATCTTTTGCATATGGTGCCACCAACTGCAGCTTGAATGGGCCCAGTCTCATGACTCCGGATCAGTACCCAGTGTCCCTGGCGGGCAGCCCCTCCGTTCAGTCTGACGAGCTGTGGCATTACCCCTCCCTAGGCAGCCCCAGCTCCTCAGAGCCTGGCTACTCTCAGGCCTACTCCAGTGCGCACATGGTTCCAGAGCCCCAGCCTGACGGGAAATATGAGCCCTTCCTAAGTCTCCTCCAGCAAGACCGACACCTAGCCCATCCTCAGGAATCCGCAGTGTGGGAGGATTGCAGCTCTGCCCAGGTAGCCAGAAGCGTGGGATTGCTCTGCGACTTGCCTCCCAGCTCAGCCCACGGTAAGGAAATGCCTCCAGATACTTGGAGGACTGCCTCTGACTGGTTGTAGTTGAGAGGGAGCTGGCAATGAGATGGGGTGCTAAGGCTAATTGCTCCCTCTTCAGACATGGGGCTTCTGAGGGATGGAATGTTCTGCTTCAATGTTCCATAGATCTTCACTAAGCTTCATCAACATTCAGGGTTACATAGATAGCCAGCCAGATGGACTTGGCCCCAAATGGTCACCCCAGTCTGTTGACTTGGACTTACTCTAGAAAAATGATTTAGGCTGCTGCCGAAAATCGCAGGGTCCTGCATTCACCTCGCCGTCAGCCACCAAATAATCCACTTGTAAAACAGAGAACTCTCCGACATACCTACAAGCTCAAACTCTATCCTCTAAACAGGTTGGCAACTTGCAGTGACGCCAGGTCCCTGGGCAGAAACAAGGGCGATCTACACCAACCATCTGCTCCAAACATTAAAATTCGAAGTCGCTGTAGAAGCAGTCCCATGGCTGCCTGGAGACCGCCATGGCTCGGTCTCCCTCGGGTGACTGCGCCCAGGCCACCACCCCTCCCCCTGAACTAAAACCCCTTTAAGGCTCATTCACTTCTTCATTCACTCATTCGCCCAACCAATATTTAATCAGTGCCAGCTAGATGCCAAATGCCTACCAAAAAACAAGACTCCCTTCTTTGTAAAAGGCTGGGGGAGAATTGGCCTGAAGTAGACTTTCACCAACAGAACAACCCAATCTGCTACAAGATTTGCCTTTCATATGAAACATGGGTAATAATATATATATTTTATCGTTTCATGGGGCCAAATCCACATCCTCTGGCATTCTGTACTCTGGACAAATTTTCTTTTACAACCCCCTAGTCCATACACGTCTGTAGTTCTATGCCTGAAAGAAATTGCTAGATGTTGCCTTTACTCGGAACTAACTATACAGTACACAAAGGGCCTGTTCAGCATACCCTACCTCAGTCAGGCACTGTGTTCCAGCCTAATGTCAAAAACAAATTTCCCATTAAAATACCACTCTGTCATTTCCAGAGTTTGATTAGGAATGTACTTCAAGAGTAAATCATAAAAATGTTATGCTTGGGAAACCCCTGGGAAATTCCCACCCCTGTACCCTTTTTCAAAATTTTTCAAAAATTTGTTCCTGCTGGATTCAGAGGAAAAATTAGGCCACCTGTGTTTGCATATAGGCCTGTGCATACACTCAGCAGCTGGGTAGAACGCAGATGGCTCAAATCCTCACCTCCCGCACATAACAACCATACAGTTCAACCCCAATTCAGCAAATATTTAGTGAACATCTACTATACGCCAGGCACATCATGGCAAAATTATGATGCAGGCATGATCCTATTTCTGAAGCCTCTAGACACATTATCACATGTCTATCACCAAGTCTGACTACTGAAAACTTCACGCTCTCCTACTAACATGGACGTCAGTTGTACTCATTGGCCTGGTGGTCTAGGATCTGTTGGGGAAGTCAGGAACATTGCCTGTAAGATGGGAACAAGACCCCAGGGTACCTTAAAAACAGAAACTTCTCTGTTTTTGTAACATCTGATAAGAGAAAATATGCTCGGGGTTTATAAACTGAGGGGCAGGGGCTGCCTGGGTGGTGGCTCAGTGGGTGAAGCGTCTGCCTTCAGCTCAGGTCATGATCCCAGGGTCCAGGGATCGAGCCCCCGAGTCGGGCTCTACACTCAGCAGGGAGTCTGCTTCTCCCTCCGCTTCTGACCCTCCCCCTGCTCATGCTCGCTCTCTCTGACAAATAAATAATCTTTAAAAATAAACTGAGGGGCAGACCATTTGGAGTCCCTGGAGATTTCTAATCATATGTTCTTCCTTTCTAGATAAGAAAATATATTTCCCCCCAGATGGTGGACCCGCCAGTGCCAACCTCGCAAGTGAAAGTAGGTATCAGGTTCTGCCTTAGGTACTTGGTCCCTACAGCTTGGGAATAAAACTTGGGGAGAAGCTCATAGTGGGAAAACCAGGCGCTTCAACTGATAAGACCCCGATTTCTGTTACTTAGTATTTTCATAGCTGGAATTTGTTTCATCTTAGTCTCAAGGAGCCCATGTACTTTGTGCCTTGTAAAATGTCTTGACTTTTTTTTTTTTTTTTTACCATTTTCTTATTTTGCTATCCGAGCAGCTCTATTACGTTCTCTTACCCGAGCCAGATTTAACCCAGATGACTCAGCAAAATGAGCAAATTCATGAGGATTAGTGGGCTTGTCCCAGATGTTTAGTTTTCAGCCTAGAACATAGGGCTACCCCAGGACTCCGAGGCCCAGGAAAATGCCACCTGAGGCTAAGGGCCAGGACTCTGGGCTCCACGCTCAATTCAAAAGTGGTGTCAGTAGGAACTGCCAAATGGGAATGATATGGGTCTTGGGGGGAAAGGCATGAGGATCTTTATGGCCTGGCTTCTAATCCGGGCTCATGACTTACTAGCTTCAGAAACTTGGTCACATTTCTTAACCTCTCCACTCCTCAGTTGGCTCATTTGTGAAATGAGGATTAAGATAGGGTGGCCCCCCCAACAGAGTTTCTATGAGGATTAAAATGAGATAATATATGTAAATGCTTAGGATCTAGAATGTTAGCTCCTTGAGGGCCAAGACTTTGAGGGGTGTATACCCACATCCCAGCATCTGCAACAGAGCCCGGCACAGAGGGGGAATACATATTTGTTGAATGGATGGATGAGGGAGTGCTGGAAACAATAGAATGGTGAAGAAGCAAATAGTAAAAATACATCGCCGACACAGTACAAATTCTTTTGTTCGAAGCCCTTGTGTAAGACAGACTAACGGACAAGCCAGAAGCACCCTTGGTGATTAATTGGCCATGCCCAAATGAGGAGATGGATTTAGGGCTGGTTCAAGAGCTTTAGCGTGGCTGAGTCAGGCTTCACATCAATCTCTACCCAAGAGGATGAGTTCTGCTAGCCTACTAATTAATGAAAGTCAGGATTATAAAGTCTCCTCTAAGTACTTGTTAGCGGTTTGTACATTTTTTAATGTTAAACCTTAGAATTACTGAAAACTTGATGCTTTAAATGGTTCCTTTAAAAGGCGAAAAAAATAACAGCAACACGTACGGGTGGGGACTATGAGCCGGATCCCACGCATGCCGTCCTGCTCCGTGCCCACAGTGACCACCTTGTGAATTGTGTATGTGCCTTACACAACAGGTCTTCAGGGAATAGGGATTGAAGGAATGCATAAATATTCTCATTTTGTAGGTGAGGAGACGGAGTCTCGAACAGGTGACCAGACTTGCCTTAAGATCACCCAGCATCAGGTGGCAAGGGGTATTCCTCTCTTTGCTCTCAGTCTCAAAGCCGTCCTCAATCATAAACGACAATACACATTAATCCTGAGAAACAATTCCAAGTTAAATCAAGTGTACCGCAGTGAGAGTTGGCAACTGGTAGGATCGTTTCACTGCGTATGGGTTCACTGCCTACCTGTGGCCAGGACACCGTCCTAGAATAAGGGGAGGGGATGCTGGGACAGCAGGCACAGGAACCATATTACCTTGGGCAAAGGGCAAGGGGATGGACTTCCCGAGCGGAGACTAGTTGAGGGGGAGACGGGGAGTGGGTTCCCGGCTATGCCAACCGTCCCAAGTCAGCTGTCCTGCCACTGTGGCTCTGGACAGAGGGAGGCAGCAGGGCACGGGCACTGGGAAGGGGGCCACTTCCGGGCACCCCAGCAAAGCCCCTGCTCCTCAGCACACCGCCAGGCTCCCAGTCTCGGCTGATGGTGAGGACCATGGGGGAGCTTGGGAAACGCTCAGATTCCGCGTCCTCACTTCCAGTAGATTTGGCGCGGAACTCCATTGCCTCTAAACGTTTGACTCTTTGTATATTTTATATGAACCTGGTTTCAAAGTGAACTCGATGAACGTTTCAGTAGGAATTTCAGTAGTTCTGAAACGTTTCCTGTGTGAGGCCCCAGATAAAGATTGGTCAAAGGAAGGAAGGTCGAGTCTCCTCCTGCCCCTCCAATATGGGCCCAGTCCCCTCCTGATGGCCGAGGCAAATTACTTAACCTCCCTAAACCTCCCTCAGCAACTTTTCCTCTCCCCCCATCCATCACGCTCTCCCGCCAAAGAGCACTCAGGAAAATCACCCCACCCAGCTGTTTCTACTTGCGACTCCTGACCTCAATCTTCAGCTGGGCACTCAGGAAGCTCATGACTCCCATACTCGCCCACTTTTCAACCCCCGGATTTGCACTCTCAGCTGATGCTCTTGCCCCAGAGTTGATGGAGAAAACAGAGGTCATCTGATTAGTACTCTTCTGACTCCTCACAAACAAACCTGCAAATCAACTTGCACCTGTGTCCTCATTCTCCTTTTGTACCCTTTCAATGTTACCATGTTTCCTCCTCCTAGCAAATGTCAGTGCCTCCACATGGCCCTTCACTGGTCTCAGTGACCTCCCCCACGAGGTTATCCTCATCCTCCCCCATCATCATTTGATCTCCTCATCTTTGTTGGATCATTCCCATTACCATACAGATAGAAGGTAAATAGTAGAGCCATTTTTAAAGATATTTTTTAAAGATTTTATTTATTTGACAAAGACAGCGAGAGAGGGAACACAAGCAGGGGGAGTGGGAGAGGGAGAAGCAGGCTTCCCGC